ATCATCCGTACCGTTTTCTAATTCTAAAGCATATGACTTGGGATTATATTAAATTTCAAGCCCTCTGAAGATTTCCTGTAACTGCCCTTTTCAACATAGTTTGGATACGCGCTGAACTTTAATAGTATAACATACACTTTATACAAACCTCACCCAAAAAACAAATAAAAATAATAAATTTGGTGTTGTCGATTGTATTTTCAGTATGGAAAGTTTATAAAACGTACGGAACCTTAGAGCAAGTAAGCTGCGCCTCAAAAACCCGTCGGCAAAGGTTGTTCTATGCTGGAAAGTCGTTCAATTGAATCTTGGCTTCAAAATTTGTGAATATGAAAAAAAATAAGATCTCGATTCCCAAAAACAATGCATTATATAACATATTATCTAGATCATTTATTTTCAATATTTTCAAGTGTTTATAGATAGAGAGATCATTTACTTTTGGTACAAGATGGCTACAATTAATCTTGATCATTAGATATAAAATTGGGTGGCTGCATTTATTTCATTGACTAAGCTCAAAGTTCAAAAGATATTTTTTCTGACGCTGTGACACACCCAAGCTATCAAATTTCACATCGGATGGTTGTAAGTAATTGTAATCTCCCTATACAAAAAATAAATGGTCCCATTGTATACACTCCCTTATAGATAGACTTGATCTGTACCATTTTCTTAAGTTTTAAATTTTATAAGAGGTGAAAACAGATTTCAGTCTAGCCTAGGTGTTTTCAAAACAAAAATTACATATTCCAATAAAGTTTGGAGGTGTGCCTTGCTTTGATTGTTTAAAGTTGCACCTTATACAACCTGCACCGAGTGAAGAGTTTTATTTCATTGCAGAGCTGCTGCTTATTCTTTTTTACAATTTATTTCATTGAAGAGTTGACCTTATAAGGCAATAAAAACCCGAAATATTTGGAATTAATTCGGTTTGCAGGCCATAAAGACAAGATATAAATGCACGCGAAAGAAAAACAGAATGCCTATACAGATAACAATATAAAAAAACATTTTATTGATTATTCTCAACTTATGAAAGACATAATTTATTGGAATTAAGCACCAAAACTAAAACTACTGCTTGTTAATCATACGGAACCCTCGTTTGAAGTTTAAATATTTAAGTATGCATGTAACCCATCACATGAATTGAAATTGAGAAAAAACAATACTCAAATAATTAAAATTTGGGTCTATATATCAGTAAGATTAGGGATTACATATGCCCTTAACTTTTTATTGCTAAGTTATTTTAGTGGTTATTAAACATTTTTAATCTTATATCACATGAAATTTCTCAGTAAGGGTTTTTCACTTACAAAGAGAGATCTAATCTCACCTATGATGTAGCTCTTTTCAGTGCTATTTTCAAAAAGAAAAAGGCCCCGGCTATCGGGCTCTAAGCTCAAAATCTTTTTCTTTTTAAATTGATGTTAGGGTCAGTACCTTTTTTTTCAAATAGTTTAAGAGTTAGTTTTTTTGGAGGTGTTATTACAGTTATATCAGTGGAAATGAAAATCACAACGTGGCGACCAGGGTATAGGTGCTATCTCTATGACCCCAACCCGATGTTAGGGTCCGAGGGATGAGTAAATGATGTGAATTTTCTGGATTTGAAAGTTCTCTCTAACTTCGTTTTGTTGGGGGAAAGTGTGTTAAGGTGTTTTCAAGTATTTTCTAAAATTATAAAGAATTGAAAAGATTTGCCGGTCCACATAAACCAATTGTATAATTTGGACTTGGACCCACCATATTAGAAAAACTTATTTGGCTAATCTTTTTTCTTTATTGGAACACATATATGATTAAATGCATATGAAGTTAATAGTCACTTGTATTTGTACGCGGAATCTTTAAAATAGATAATAGTCGGTAAATTAAAAAGAAAATAAGGTGCTCCTGCCCCTAAAATATGGAAAAGGACGCCCGCTTCCTTCGTGATTCATTTTTTTAGATGGTAGATTTCATATGTACATAATTTTTTTATTTTATGTTATGAAACCAAAAAGAAGAAATGGCAATAGATATGTATAGATTATATAAAATAACGATGTGGAAACTAGAAAACAATCTATCTCCATGTAGTGTCTCTAAAAAGAAATAGCCAAAATACATCCCTACACCGGGCACCATGCTTTCAATAAATCAAAACACAAAAATCATTACTCAAACCCAAAAAGAAAAATTCAATCTCAACCTCCAATATCCAAAAGGATCGGTGTAAGATCGTGCGGTTTTTGTTTAGAGCAGTAGGATTACAGACCCCTACCCGTTTCAGAAATAAATAGTTATTAGTTTTCGAATGGGTAATTGGGAATAAAAATTTAGACCACTAGTACTACCACCATGACCTCAACTCCATTCTCAATACTCTTGTATTTTTATCATGTTCATTTCACACAAACTTGTCTCTTCAAATATGCTCCGAATCCATCATTATCTCATATATACTTTTTTAGGTTTTCTCGAAGTTCCAACCGATTCAAAAGAAATTCATTAGGAGGGATTTTAAATATTATTGATTTTCCTACTTTCTTAAAAAATTAAATCTTTTTAAAATATCCAACAAAATTGTAACTATATAGGAAAGATTAACATAGCCCTTTACCCAAAAGCATCTTAAAAGTGGGCTTTTAAGCACCGGGCCCCCGAACTTGACTATCATTCCCCTATTTCCAATTGAGAAGCCGGGTCACGCAAACCGAAACATCTATTCTACTAAACTACTATCTCTGCAGTGTTAGAATTTATAATACAATGAAAGAGGAATCAACAAAAACATTGTAGTAGTGATCCAAGCACTTACCTTTTGGAGCACCTGCTGTAGGCAATGCTCAAGAAGCATTTTCCTTGTATCACAAGCTTTAAATGAAAATTAGCACAAATTTGTAGGCACCATGAAAATGCAGCAGGGTAGACAAGTTACATGCTTCAGGTGATTAAGAGAGTAGAGTAAAAAGAAGAGGTACAAACTAGAAGTAGGAAGAGGAATCCATAGAATTTTGGTTGCTTAGGTTAGAAGGCTTCAATCTGACAAACTTGTAGATGGCCCCTTTTATATGTGAATTGAATATCTATGCATAGCACAAAGTAATACAAGGTGTCGATCTTATTTAATAAAAGTGAGGTGCACCTAAAATTTTATTGTTTTAAAAAAAATGTCGTTTTAATGTAGAAAAACTCTTTAATTGATCATTTTCGACATTAAGATGTATGGAAATGAAAC